AGAGAGGGCACTGTTATGGTATAAGTCGGTATGGCATTGTTTGGTAGCATTGGGAACTACTGTCGTAGTGAATGTAACATGTATTTCCGTTCGGTGCGTAGAAAAACGTGAACCGTGATGTCATGCATGAAATCGAAGGCAGACACTCTATGGAGGTGGTGTAGGCTGTGGGTGAGACATTTAGTTTAAGATACTATGTCGGGGGACGGCCATAAATTTCGTCGTTGTATGTTTTGCCAGAATGAATACCTTCGTTGAAAGTGTGTTCGTCGAAAAATGAGCGTGTACAGTAACGTTTGTGATATTTTGTGGCAATGCGATGGGGTTGTTGAAAGTTCGGTGAAGAATATGACGTGAGAGACACAATACGCATGCACCAACACCTATTTCGTTGATAGTGTTATTTGAGATAGTGCTGTCGGCGTTGTTGTTATAGTGCTAGTTGGTGGAGATGTTGGTGGAGGTTGGAGTACGCCTGTGGCGGCTTCAACAACAGGCGGGAAGACAATGTTGGCTACATGAGGGATGTCATCCATGGTATGAACTGGAGAAACGAGGCACACGACAGAAAAATGCAACTCGGCGTCCTTCTGTGAGTAATTCTGCTTGCCGCATGACACGGGAGCTTCGTGAAACCGCCCGTGCAACAGTTTTCTGGCCGTTGACAAAGAGCGTTTCCGCCTCTAAGAGCCCTAAACCAATTACCTCACCCAGACCTCAGAAGTCCGCGAAGTCACCAGGGGCGGCAGCCCGGAGAGTCTTGGCCTCGTCGTCGGCCGAAGTGCTAGCATTCTTGAACAACTTATTGTCGTTGATGATAGCTTGAAGCTGAAAGACGAATAATGTCACTTTGATAGGATGGGCCGATTGGATTATTCCGTCGTGATTCCGTCGTGACACTAGTTTTTTTTTTTTCTCCCATCATTGGATTTTTGTCGTCTGCCCCTCTGGCCCCTATCCTCCACTTCCACTAGCTAGACGACCCAACCGGGGTCACACAGGAGGGGGGGTTGGACCCCCTCCTGCGGTTCCTGCCTGAGATATATTTATCGCGAGAAGGGTGCAGCAATCCCTTCCCTCGCGACCTATGAAGTGGATCAAGTTTACTAACAACGCGCTTTGCAGCGCATCGCTTCCAAGGGAGACCAGGATTTCATTAGTGACTAGTATTTGCTGTTGAATGTGGAAAGCACTCAATTATGAATTTACTTTGTACACTCCCTCTTGTTAACCCGTCGTGATTTCTTTGCCTGCTAAGAGGGAAAGTGGCGGTCCTGTGAACACGTCATGATGAAAAACCCTATGATGTCATTTCGGTCGTTTCGCACAGGTGCTATGAACACTTCAAGGTCGACCGTTCCTTTTCTGCCACCGTTGTGTTTGCCGCCGGAGGTGCAGGCCCTTGGGCTCTCCGTTTGGTCGCCCACCCTTTCACCACGAAATGTTCTTTTTTATCTTTCCCGTGCCTTCCTTGTTGAGGTCGTCGTGCTTGGTGCCGGGCGTGAAGGCTACGCAGATCGGCTGCAAATACGCAGACACACAGCAGCAGAACCCATGAGTGTGCAGACATAGATGATCGTTGCATTGCATATTTCTTGCAGTGCGCGTAAAACACTACTACTGTGATACGTGCTGTGACACTCGTTGTATTGTACGTGTTCGGCAATTTTTTTTCATTAGGACACACTGCAAGCAGGACCAACAAGTGTGCAGACGTATGATCCATAATCGAACACTTTTACAGCAGTCGTCTCCAACGATGCGTGCAAACACAGACATTCCATTCTCCGTTTGTGGTATGCATGTGTCGGACAGCACACGTTTGCAATGATGCATTAGACAACATGATCGAGCAGTCAGAGTGTCAACGTATAGTCTATACATACGAAAAGTATACTTGTTTTTGTGAGGGCCACGTAGGCTTTTTATGTGCAGCAACCATGAGTGTACACACACCGGTCGCTCCGGTGGTCTAGTGGGTAGCCTCGTAGCCTGCTAAAGCCCAGGTCATGGGTTCGAGTCCCGACAGAGTGAGTTTTTTCTTGCTCATGAAATCCTGGTCTCCGTTGGAAGCGACGCGCTGCAAAGCTCGTTGCTATAATAGTAACTTGATCGACTTCATAAGTCGCGAGGGAAGGGATTGCTGTAACCTTCTCGCGATAAAAATATCTCAGGCAGGAACCGCAGGAGGGGGTGCAACCCCCCCCTCCTATGTGACCCCGGTTGGGTCGTCTAGCTGGTAGAAGTGGAGGATAGGGGCTAGAGGGGCAGACGACAGAATCCAATGATGGGAGAAAAACAAACAAAAAAACAAAACACTCATCACTGATGTTTACAGCAGTACGACAGCAGCAGTACAAAAAAGAAAAAGCACCAACCCATGATTGTCACACACTGCTAAGGATAAGCCACACGCTAGCCAGAAACACACACTGATGCTCTATTGTGCGAAGCAACACCAGCTGACGCTGACGCGCTGACGTCACGATGTTTGCGAGAACCAAAAAAAAATCGGAACCACCCGGAACCATTTGGAACCTCCGGGAGAACCAAATCGCTGATTACCAGCGACTTTCCAACGCCAGCAGCTCCCGACCCGGCGCGCCGCGAGCCGCGAGACTCTCGGTTCGTGCCCGGTACAATACTCCGGTGTGGGGGGCGAAGAAACGGTTCGAAAAAGTTTAAACGTTCATGTCGAAAAAAATTGGACTCACGAGAGGCCAGCGGGAACANCTCGCCTTGAGCTCTGTATTACGCTGAAAGGATGAACGGTTGTTGTTGTTGTTTTCTTCACATTAAACTCGTGTCAGTTGCCAATCCCAAAATCTAGCGAAGCCTCGGTCCGTGGTCACTATAATGCGAGAGGCATCAGAAACAGAAGACAAACAAGCTTGCAATTTTCCGTGAGATGTGCATGCATGCATTTTCAAAAACTCAAAGCACAAGCCAGCTTTGGCGTACCGCAGTAATCAAAGTAACTAACCCTGTTCGATTTCTTCCTACAGCCGCAGTAGAACTGTACATGCCACTTTGAGGGTGTGTGTATTTCAGCCATTTACACGTTGCCGTGTGCACGTACGTGAGGATACACAATGCACGTGAGGACTTCGAAGTAATTGCTTCAGTCAGCGTTGCTTACACTTGAGAAGGTGACGACAGCAGTCTGTCGATATCTGGTTGACACCACGCGGCACAATTATTACAGTAAAATACGCCGTCGGTGCTATGTATAACAACAGTGTGTTGTTATTGTTGTTGTTGTTTCTCACATTAGCTCTATAGTCCACAAAGAATGGGGAGCCCGTGGTCTCAAAACCCGGCACATACGACGCCGCGGGGAAACAAAACAAAAATAGGGGACAAACCATTCGGAAAAAGAAAACAAAATGATAGAAAGAAGAGAACAGCTACCGCTCCGACCTTTCGAGAAAAGAGCCCTCGGAAACCGATCTAAATATCTTAAAAACAAAAATAAAGGAGGACGCTTCCCACACCCGCCCAAAGAAAAAATCAAAGGGTAACGTACCAGGACCAGTGTGTGGTGGTCGGTCATGGTTTTCGAGTTGAAGTTCTACAAAATCTCGTCCAATGAGCTTCGTGATTCTTTGGAGGTGACAGTCCCTACCGTAGACGCGCCCGGATGCAGGAGATTTAGTCGTACGTCACGGTGCTATAGCTCGGCTCGCCCTTGGAGTCTCGAGCTCGCGACAGGGGCGCTGTGACCGTGGGAGTGGCACGCCCACGTCGGCGAAGAACGGCCGAAAAAAAAGTTATAACCCCATTTATAAACAATTAAAGCCGATCTACCGCACCGCAACGTCTAGCTCAATGACTGAAGTAGTGGTTGCGTGCTTTCACCGTGCGTGGTGGAAATCTACTCGCCTTTGGAATTTCGAGCTTGCGACAGGGGCGCTGTGATCCAGAGACTAGCCCGCTGCAGCGGGCAACAGCCGGCGAAAAAAAAAGTCTCAAGGCGACCGCGAACTGATGCACCGAAAAAAAACGTCTTGCGTTTAGACTGCAACAATGGTTGAACTCTTGCGTCTCAGGCCTCCGACATAATAGTAGTTAAGTCTATGCTGGCGAAGTATCTTTCTTGCAGATCTACAGCAGTAGATCAACCGGTCGCCCCGGTGGTCCAGCGGGTAGCCTCGTAGCCTGCTGAGGACCAGGTCATGGGTTCGAGTCCCGGCAGAGTGAGTTTTTTTCTCACTTAATAATTCCTGGTCTAGGATGGAAACGACGCGTTGCAAAGCTCGTTGTTAGTAAACCATAATCGACTTCGTAAGTCGCGAGGGAAGGGATTGTTGTACCCTTCTCGCGATAAAATACCTCAGGCAGGAACCGCAGGAGGGGGTCCAGCCCGCCCCTCCTATGTGACCCCGGTTGGGTCATCCAGCTAGTAGAAGTGGAGGATAGGGGCCAGAGGGGCAGACGACAGAATCCGATGATGGGAGCAAAAAAAAATAAAAAAAGACTATTGATGGCCCTGTCCTGCTCAAAACCAAAACCGCAAATCCGTTCTACTTCTACTATTTAGTCAACACACGCACGGAAAAATGGCCTCCAAAGAGTCGATGCGCGAATATGCTACGTTCCCGGAGCATACTATGCTTGACAACGATCCGGTCGAAAGACGGTCAAGGCACGGGGTGGCCGTCGACCCATCAGATGGCGTCATGCGGCCGCTGCGCGCGGCGTGTGATAGGAGTGTAGTACCGATTGCGACCGTGCTCGTACCGGGTATACCCGTTATTGGCCACCACTCATATAAAATGACTGCTTCACGCACCCGTGCAATGCCTAACTCAACCAACCGTGTTAGAGGCAATCATCCCGGGTCAGAGTTCTTGGTTCAGTGAAACGAGGCAACACCACTGCTGGATGTGCGTGGAAACTGCGGGTGACGATTGATAAATGGGATGGCAGAAACAATTGATATGTTGCACCCGCATGTTTTCGCCTGCGCTCGCCTTTCTTTTCACAACGAACGTTGACAGGTCCAAAGCAGCAGCAAAGGGGCTTGCGCAAGCACCGAAACCGGGAACGTGGAGTGAAGGGGTATACCGTAGGAGACGTAAGATATCACACACCCCTAGACAGGTTTTCACTGCTCGATTTCTCCGCTCAGAAAGATAGGAGGCGCCGAAAACGGCGGCGTTGAAGCCGTATACCTCGTCGGGAGCTCTCCGGAAACGTACCGTTTCGTGCATGCATCCTCTTCGTCGTGGACAAGCCGAGCTTTGACTATCGGTCGGCGAGGTATCTTGTATCAGCGACGGTAGTCCAGGTGTAGACGTCAGGCATGGCGTGCCTGCAGTTCGGGACGGATGCCCTCGGAAAAGAAATCCTCGAGCTCGTGCCGGCCACCCCCGCTGCCGCACCTTCTGAAACCGTCGCTATTGCTAAAACGGCGGCGCCATCAATAGGAGATAGGGATCAGGACGATCACGGGCGTGCCGCAGGCGGCGCAACAGAGGCCGCAGCAGCAGCGGGCCTAGAGGATGGGGGCGAAAGCATGCCCTACAAGGGTGAAAATACCATCGTTATGATGGAATGGGAAAAGCCATACATGCGAGCGCTTGTGGACGCCTTGGCAATAACTGGTGGGTGGTCGGGGCGGTAGTCTGCTCGCGGAGAGATGCAAGATGAATCCCAATTGTGCTTGCACTTGTTGGCTTGTGACCACGGAAGGCGTCCGCGTCAGTTGGACAAGTACGGATGTTAAAAGGCACTGAGCGGAGACCGAAACGGTTATTACTGTGAAGATAACAGCAACAACAACTAATACCCCCGGTGGTATCACCAACTGTGCCTGTTACGAAAAGAGACGCGAAAGCAACGAGAGGGGCTCTTGGACCTGCTTTCATCCACGGTTGCCCGATCCATCCTAACACCCGTCCCTCCGATGCCCCGCTCCACCTACAAGAGGAAAGCCGAGTGCTTGAGATAGGGTACGGCATCGGATACAGCGCGGATCGAATCCAGGAATTTTCACCCCGATCTCACACCATCATCGAGCCGGACCCGGTCGTTCTCGCCAGACTAAGGGGATGGGCGGCTGCACGCCCGGGGGTCCGGATCGTCGAGGGGTTTTGGCAGACGGCCCTGGCAACGCTGGGAGAGTTCGATGCCGTGTTTTTCGACGATTTCCCTGTGAGAAGCGTGTTCTTGGCGTGTTCGTTCCTCCGTAGACCGCCACAATCGAAGCGAACGGGTGCCCGAAGCAGCTTGACTGCTGTACAGAACGGCCCAGCATATTCAGACACGGTCTCCATGCCACGTTTCGAATGTCAAGTCGAATGTGTTTGGATGACTTCGGACCGAATCAGCATCTTATCCCCACCACCCATCCCCTGCCGTGTCTTGCCGTGTCGACCCCCAACTCCTGCAGCTGCCGGACACGCCCGATTCGTCCGATTTGAGAGGCCCCGCGTCGCGATGGCACGCTTTCATAGACCTGTGCGCTGCCCACCACCTTCCAGTCGGTGGCCGAATAACAGGGTAAATGCATATATATAGACTCTGTTGAGAGAAGTTGTATTCAGGAAAGTATGTAGAGTGGTGGCCCTTCGATCTTTATGATACAAGACAGGCAGGTGTGCTTCCGTCACCTTTTCGTCGAGTCTCTGTCGCCATGAGAAGTAACGCGTGCACCACGTGGGCCTACCCTTGAGGCTCCCAACCCCCAATTTCGCAGTAGCAGCCTCAGCGAGGATATACAAGCTTGGGTTTCGTCGGGGGCACGGTGTGGAGATAGGGATAAGGATAGGGGTACGACACCCTCCTCTCAATAGTAGAGATTAATAATAGAATCATGGCGCGGCGATCCCAATTGCGAGCTCCCCGCGCCGAACATCTTGTGTATGGCGATTGTTTTGTCACGCATCCCCGCCAACCAAGTCCCCAATGCCTGTTACATTCGTACGATTTTCACCCCGCTCCGCTCCGCAGATATTTGGCGAGACCACTTCCTTTGGAGCGATCGGGGTGCGTGCTGTCTCCTCTCGTAGCTTTTCCGGTAGACGTGCCTAAAAATTGTCCGTACTTCCCATACGGCGAGGCGTACATTCCGCTGATAACGCGGGCAGAGACGGGTGCGGCGAAGGGCGCAGCTGCGGGAGGTGATGATGATGCTGGCACGGCGCTGGCGTCGTCATTATTGGTCCAGAGTGTCCAGGACAGGGGAAACGGGAGTGAAGGATCGTCGCAGGAAAGGAAGAGACAGAAGCGCGAGGTGTTGGAGGCGCTGGTTAGGGAGAGCCTGGGGCTCAGTGCGATCAATCACTAGGCCCCATCAAGAATCTCGGCTCGCAGCTGTAGTTACTTTGCAACTCACATAGACGGTAGTAAAGCTCAGTTTCAAAGCTACCGTCGACCCCTATTTAAGGACACCCGCGTCAAGGAAACTCCCCGCTTAAGAAACTTGTTTTGCTGAGCATCGGGGGCCCGGTAGAATATACGATAGTGGGGTACCCACATTTTTTCTGCTACGTACCCCCCTTTTTGTGTCCTGCGGGCCTGCGTGTGTTGGGCGGTTCTTTGCACGAACCACGCACCATGGTGAGTGCAGAAGTAGCGACGTACAGACAGCCGAAGTAGCGAGCGGTCTGCTGCTGCAGCTGTAACAGGGTGTTGGTATGGATAGATTCCTCCCATCTGCCGGCGGTCCATCTAATGCCGCGAAAAAAAGAGTCGTGCATAATAACCTCGTTCCTCACCGAGGGCGTGGTTATCTCTCGCTTGGAGGACGTTCGACCCTACAGATAGCGCCCGCATTTAAGAAACGTCAAAATCGGTTCGAGCCTCACCAATCCCTTCTTTTGGGTCGAAGTACCGGCCCAAGTCGTCCATTTCGTAAATGGCATTTCTTCTTCCTTTGGACTGTCGCATCCTCCCGATCCTCTTATTCCTTAGACTACAAGTACTTCGTATTTTATTTTTTCTGTATTTTGATTGCTGCGGACAATCCACATCATCAAGCCCTCTAGAGAGGTGGTGGAGAGTGCCATCAAACCCGTACAACAGCGGAGAGCATATGGTTGTCCGCGATGTGTGGCAGTACTACAGTACAGCACTCACTGTGNACTTACTTCTTCTTTTCAGCTTGGGAGGGGGTTGGGAGCACCGCAGATTTCTGATGTCCTGGGGGTATCGCACCATCACGTTTCTTATTGGGGCGTTTCTTACGTTGTGGCCGAGATTGAGCTATGTTTCTCAGCCTTTTTTTTTTTTTTTTCGTACTAAGTTGACAGAATTTTTCTTCATTGCGGGCGCTATCTGTATTTATTTGTACGCGCAGGGAAGGAAGGGGTGGCGAGTACCGTGAGACGCAGTACATTCATGACACTCAACAGAGCCGTAGAGCCAAGCCGCGGGGGGAGGTTCAGGGAACTCTTCGCGATATGTGGAAGGAAAAGCCATCAGGGTAGCTGTTGGTCTCCGCCGGGACAGTCTTTTTTTGCGTCTTCACTTCAAATCAGCGCTCACAGCACTACTAGTGCCGTTTACTCCAACCCGTGGTCACACAGAAGAGCCCCCCTCTCTCTACCCTCCCCTCCTGCGGTGCTTTGCCGTTGATTTTTAATGCGAGAAGAGTTCAGCATTCTCTTCCCTCTGTGTACACACGAACTAGCGCTATCAACTAGGCCACGGTACAGTGATATGCTTACATCCCGGTCGCCCCGGTGGTCTAGGGGTAGCCTCGCAGCCTGCTAAGGGGGTGTTCCGCGTTAAAGACGAATTGTCTCTCCCGCGGCGAGGAAAAACTCGAATGAAAAAACCGTTTTTGGATACATGTCTAAAACGACGTTTAAAAGCATCGTCATCAGGCCAGGAGCCCTCACGAACGCATCTTCTCCGGGGTACCGCAACAAAGGAATACTCCTCGATGTCACACACGCAGACCCGCAAGCACAGGTACACTTGCGGAACGGCAGCGCGACCAGCGATGGAATCGCAGCCCAAGCATCCGAGGCGCGAAAGCGTCAGCACTACGCTCGTCCGGGACACGTGTCCTTTGACGAACGCAGCTTTAAACTTACCACCTTAGCCGTGGAAAGCTTTGGCCGCCTTGGAGAGGAGGGTTACGAGTTCATCGATGAACTTGCGACACATGCCGTGGGAGGAAGGGACGGAGGAACGATGGCTCTGAAAGGAGTCTTCAAGGAACGACTTCTTCAGATCGTTTCGGTGGCTACACAGGTGGCCATATCTCGGCGAGTGCAGAGGTACAAGCTCGCATTGCGCGGGCGTCAAGACGCCGAAAACAGGCGAACAAGATCGACCTCGGACCAGTCAACGCCAATGATATGGGGATGGAGTGTAGACGCATCGTAGAACGCGTTTTCGTTTGAAGTTGGCGTCTTGTTTGAGAGTAGATGTGACAGATTTGCGTAGAATAGGGTAAGATGTTATCATGAACGGAGATGAAAGGGCTTTTCCAACACGGAGATGTAGCATGGATCAAAGCATTTGTTGGATTTCAGCTTTTACAAGAGGACATCAACGCAGTAGTATTTTAGCAAGCTTACGAACGCATATAGGATACCATCAGGATTGTCATTGGTAAGTTGAAGAGGAGATACTTTTACGATGTAAATGACAGTAGAAATAAGTCCTACATATGTTGTTGTACTTCGTATTGGTTTAATATTCATGTAGAGTATGAGACATTAAGTGAAAGTTTTCTGAGGTACATCTGCAATTGTCGGAAGGCAAAAATAAATAAATAAATAAAAAAAGAGAAACAAAAAAAAATGTGATCGGATCGCCTTGATTGTTTTTTTTCACCGCATTGCCGATTTCGGCGCCTCCATTTCTCCTCGGCAATCGATTCCGCTTGGCCCATTTAGAGGGGGTAGAGCCACCACTCAGAAAGTTGATCAGACAAAAACTCGACGTGGGAACCGAGAATCCAAAATCCCAGGAATTTTGAAATTGCTCAGCTACTGTCAGCTTTTGAGCAGCTGAAAGTCCATTGCAAGTCAAAACTGGGACATTCCAACAATATATTTGTGATCCCCATCCCAAAATTACCCTAATTCGTAGTCAGGAGAGTTTGAACCAACATGTAGAAAGTGTTGCGGGAGGGGGGATATTTCAGTGTAATTCCTAGTAATTCCAGGTTATCCCTGCTTTCGCGCATGCATATATATCAGTGCGTAGCTGTATCACGGCCGCATCGATCCTGATCGACATTCTGACGACGGATTCTTGATGTACAACACAACATTACCCTAACCTGAACATTCTATACGATTCGGAGGCATTTGCAACTTGCTCGGGGGGCCCGCAGACGCGATTTTCACCCAATTTGGCCACTAATTCATCAACAAGTCATCACCACGACATCCAAATGGGAAAATAAGTATATTTTCGTGATCCTCGTGACCTAACGGATGTTGGTACAAATTTTCAGAGCTTGGGAACCATTTCTTGCTGCTCATTGAAAAACTCGTGGAAACTATTCGTCTTTACCGCGGAACACCCCTAAGGGCCAGGTCATGGGTTCGAGTCCCGACAGAGTGAGTTTTTTCTCGCTAAATAGATCCTGGTCTCCGTTGGAAGCGACCCGCTGCAAAGCTCGTTGTTAGTAAACTTTATCGACTTCTCAAGTCGCGAGGGAAGGGATTGCTGTACCCTTCTCGCTAGAAAAATATCTCAGGCAGGAACCGCAGGAGGGGGTCCAACCCCCCCCTTCTATCTGACCCCGGTTGGGTCGTCTAGTTGGTAGAAGTGGAGGATAGGGGCCAGAGAGGCAGACGGCCGAGTCCAATGATGGGAGAAAAAAAAAAAAATGTACTGGTGTTTCTCGATGCGACGCTGAAATACGCTCGTTTTTTTTTTGTTTCACAAGAATGAGATAAATTTGTCTACTTGGACTTTCCTCCTTCTGCTGCCAGCTATGCAGGACATCGTTGGCCGAGTTCAAACTGGTGTATTGTAGTAGTTGTTTTCAACACGTCCCTGACTGCTGTTCATCTCATTTCAAGTATTGTATATATGTTCGACGTCAAGAAACGGCTGCCACCCGTGGGCGATGCTGACTTTTCGTACCACCCCCTTCCTTAGCAAAAGACGTGTACGTAGTTTGAGGTATAGCATGCCTCCATTGGCCCCGGGGATGGTGAGCTATCGTCCCCTGAATTTTAAGGACGCTTTTTTCCAGGAAAAACCATGCGCGTCCTTAAAGCGGGGGTCGACTGTAGTGTAACCGAGAGTCGATCAAAGGCTTGCAATTATAGCTACTTTGCAACACGTAGACGGTAGTTGAGCTCAGTTTTTCAAGCTGTTGTAACCAACCGAGAGACGTGTGGAGTCTGGATAGGACAAACCCTGCGCACACGTCCCATCCCGACGACGTTTACGGTCCATGTTACCCGGCACACGGATAGAAGAGACTGACGGTGAGTCGACCCTCGACAGAATTGGGGAAGCGCACATGTTCCGAAGTCACAGGGAAGGAAACCGCCCGTGCCATCGGGCGAACGTATAGCTCATCAGCAACTAGGCTACACAAACAGACAATTTGACGCAACACACGTGGACACTCACGCAAGAAAAAAATACAAGGAGATCGATACTCCCCCTCCTAGAAGTAGAACGCTTGCCTGGGGCCACACAGCTCCATCTTGAAAGAGAGCTCTACATCAGCTCCAGAGGCGGCAAGGATGTACATGTTCACCCCTGTCAATGGTTTCGGTAGAACAGGAAGCAACAACCGACGCCTGGGAGGGGATCGCGCAAACATCCTCGATATCACGACAAACGTTCCTCCCATCCATGATGAATGACAGGCAAGACCACAGTTACATATCTCGTGCAGATACATACGTAAGCGCAACAAGTTGCGAGCCAAAATACAAAGTAGGGAACACGAGAGCTACACGCTCTGCCATAAAACAATACCCACACACAAAAACAATTCGCACTACTTACTTCGGCAACCCAAGCTGCCCAAGGCACCCTCTTACGAGCGACTGATGGGTCATGCAACTCGAATAGATACTGCGAAGCCACCACGCATCTCGTAACACTATTTTGATATCGCACTCGCTGGAACGCTTTCGACAGATGTATTCATCCAGTCCGACCCTTACTCGGGCAGTAACGACAAAACGCATCTCCCCCTCCCTGCAAAACATCCGCTTCCGCAACATATAACCACCACGGCCCTACCGTCTTCTTGAGCCGCTTCAAACGCACATGTGGCCTCTTCGCCACCTTTTCTCCAACGGGACCGAATCCAAATGCATGTCCACCCGGGCTAGAGCCTGCTCTATACCACGCGGTACGACTAATGCCCCCCCCCCTCCCCTGGTCCGGTGAGAACCCGGCGTGCTCCGTCCCGGCTTTGTAGGGATGCGAGGTCAATGGTCTAACGACTACGGCATGCACGACTATGAGTACACCAGTACATCCCCCCCTCGGTGTTTGCCATCGGGATTGGGTTTTCGTCGCTTGGCAACGACGTGAAACAAGCCAATTCACTTCGTGAGCTCGGCAACCAGGTTACCGTTTTTTTTTTTTACCTCCGTTTTTTTTTGGCGGTAACCATCATGGTGGTCGAGTAGATCATGTTGTGCGGGGTCGAGAACCCTCACTCCGCGCGAGGGGGATGATCGCACCACGTTGTGTTAACATGGTAAAGCATCCTCGAGGCGGTTGCACAGTGCTTACAACTGTCTCAGGAAGTGAAAGCACCAGAAAATAAATTGAGTCATACGCAGCTGACATCCATACGCAAGGAAGTAAGCACAAGATGCCGAACACCCTTAGCAGGATGCAGCGCACCCTTCATGCGACTC